GTTACTTGCTGCAGACACTAGAGCAGCCGTGGCGGCGAGCGCCCTCCCAGCTCGCGGACAGTGCCCCCCAGTACCCAGAGTGGACATCGTCGGCTGTCTGCAGCGCTTCCCACGCTGCGTGGGGACGCGGCCTCAGAGCCCTCCTCTCCCAGCATTCTGGATGGTCACTATCCTGTGGCAGACATACACGGTGCAGTCGAAACCCCGTGGCACCCTGAGTGAGTGGGGTTTCACGTGGGAGAGAGCCAGCACCCAGTTAGCGCTGGGCGCTGGGTCAGGGCCCCCGGCTGGCCCGTGGGGCAGAATCCGGCAGGATAGGCGTTTGCCTGGGTGTGTGCGAAGATCGCCGCAGATGGATCAGGCTGGGATCTGTCAGGGCCGGCGGGAGATGGGGTGGTCTGCTGGGCCTTCATCCAGGGGGCTCTGCTGAGTCCTGGAGGGTGGGCCTGACCCAGAGGAGGTGGGCAGTTGAGACGGTCCAACCCGGGCTCCTCGGAGCCCACCCAGGATGGCTGGCTGTGGAAGAGCACGACTCCTGGCCCTTGGGACCTGATGCTGGGACCCTGCTGGCGGCCCCTGCAGCTCAAGGCTCAGTCATGGGGGGAACTTTCTCGCAGTTTGAGCCTCCAGGGAGGGGGCAAGGCCTTTGTCAAGGTGGCATGGGGGCAAGGGGCCTCCACTGCAGAAGGCCTTGCCATCGTGGGTCTGGGGCAGGACCCTGGTGGTGGCGGGCACTGGGGGCCTAGGGGTGAGGGTCCCTAGGGGCCTTGCAGTGGGAGGTTCCCTGACCCCCACCCAGGGGATCCTGGCCCTCTGGTTGGCTGGCCAAGCACCCCTCCCCAGACTGGCCAGGACTATTCCCCCACGTCCAGCTCTCTGAGCGGCACAAGAGCAGCGTCTTCCCCCAGGAGGGTGGACCCTGCAGGCGGGCAGGTGGCAGGGAGCTGCTGCCTCCCCAGCCAGGGTGAGAGGAGCAGGTTCTGGGTCTGATCTGGGGCGAGTGGGGTGTTGGGCACCTTGGGCCTCTGGGAAAGTTCTGCAGTGAAACCCTGGAGAGGTGGGCAGATGTGGGGGTGTCAGGGCCACCCCTCCTTCCTCTCCAGCTGAGATGCTCACAGCAGGCCTTGGGTCCCCCCAGGCATCCACCTCTTTTCTCGGGGACAGGAGGCCCCCCACGCTCTCACCCACTTCATGTGTCAGTTGTCCCCACTGCCCTCTGGCCCCTTCTGCCTTCAAACCCTGCCCTCTAGGCAGCCCCCACCGGGGACGGGCTGCCCCCGATCCCTCTCCTGCCCACTCAGCACACTTCCCACCAACATTCCCGACCTCCCTGGACGCGGCCAGCAAAGGCCCTGGGGGTGCTGGGAGGGGTGGGGGCAGGTGGTCACCTCGCATCCTGGCAGCCCAGGGGTCTGGTCTGCGCTGCCCCTGCCCAGCCGAAAACCGCTTCCACTTCATTGCGTCCCATCAGGTGCTGATGGTGTCGAAACTTTGTCCCGTGTTGCCACCTATGTCTCAAGATTGAGTCGTCTCCTGGTAACTCAGAGCGCGGGGGGAGGATGAGGGGGGCGTCCTCAGTGGGTCATCCACTGAGACCCAGGGTCCCTCTCCGTACTCTCAGGGGCCTCCTGGGCTCTGAGGGTGGCAGGGGACCAGGGACAGAGGCTGGAGCCACCTGTCACTTGGGGTGAACGTAGTAGCCAACCTCAGTGGGGCGAGGGCGTCCTGGACAACACCGCTCCTGGGGGAGTGTGGGCTCAAGGGACGCTGGCTCTGGGTGCCAGGATACCCAGCACCGCCCCTGCACCAGCCACACTGCCGCACTGCCCGGGCTCTGGCCTGGGGTGTCTGCAGCTGGCCCTGCCCGCCGCCCCGTGCCCACCCCACTCCCCGAGCCCTCATCAGACCCCCCACCACCACCACATTCTCCTCTGCCGAAGCCCCTTCAGGGACCAGGCGTCTCCCATGCCGGCCACAGCAGCCCTGGCTTCTGGCTTCTGGCTTCTAATCTCAGAACAGCTGCTCTGATTCATAAAAAGCATTTTTTATTTCCTTTTTCAATTCAGAGAATACAGTCTTCTTGGGAAGAAGAAAGGGTCCTTCCTGCGGCTGGGCTGGGAGGACTGCTCCCCTTCCTCCCTCCCGGCCCCCTGCCCCAGTGCCCACCCATCTGGGCCTTGCCTCACCCTGGCCCGGCCGCCTCACCCAGCCCCTGCACACGCCCATCCGTTTCTTCTTCCATCTTCCCCATCTGACCCCCTTCCTCCCTCCAGCCCTCATTCCCCTCCTGGGGTCCCAGAGGGTGGGGCTTCAGGCAGACCGGAGATGAGGGAGGGGCCCCGGGTAGGGCTCTGTCCCCTGAGCCCTGGCCACCAGCCCTGGGTCAGATGCGGAGGGACATGCGTGCCCATCGCCCTGCGCTGCCCCCAGAGGGTGCGGGAGGAAGGAGCCCAGCACCCGGCCGGCTGAGTGCCTGCTCCCCCGGAGGGCGGGTGGCGGGAGGCCCAGACCTCCCGAGGGGTCACGGGGGGTCCGTGCCTGGGAAACGGCGTCTGGGAAGGAGGAATTTACAGACTTCTGTTTACCCGAACGAGGCCCCGTAAAACATTTAACAGCAGCCAATTAAAGGGGGGCAGCTGCGGCGGTTTCCCGCCCCCCCCATACTACACACGGGGGCTCTGCCCCCGCCCGCCCCAGCCCCGTCCCTGCCCGGCTCTCGGCTCTCGTCAAGTCTTCCAGGAGCTGAGCTGAATCTGGGAAACATCTGCTCCAGATGTGTCTCCTCACACAAACCAGGCCAGTTGGCCAGGCTCTCTGGACTCAACTGTGCCCCCCACGGGAGGCGGGGCGCCAGGGACAGGCCAGGGTGGCCGAGGGTGCCTTCCCATGTCCTCAGGCAGGCCTGGGGGGTGATCCCTAGGCGGCGAGACATCTAGGGGCTACTCGGAGCTTTCACGGAACCCATGCAGGTGGGGAGCCCCCGACAGGGCTGGTGTGGGCAGCGTTCTTTGAGCTTCTTGGGTGGGACTGTGTTCTGCGTGGAGCACCTGTTGGGGCTGGCGTTCCGTGGCGTCGCCTCAGACCCCCTGGGCCAGAGAGCATCACACTGAGTCGTGAGGGGCTGGCAGAGTGGTGGCCGCTGCGGAGGGACCTGCCGGGATCAGGGTGCAGGGAGTGTGGACTTGATCCTGGGAATCGCGAGTGTCCCTGTTTGCCGCCTGACCGTCTTCCACTCTGAACCCTGCCCCTGCAGCTTCTCCTCCGTCCCTACATTTGCACTGGCCAGTTGCACAGCTCCTCCCACACTGGCCAGGCCTCAGGCCTGCCAAGGGGCCTCCTGAACCCCCGATACTCCCAGAGAGCTCCAGGGCTGCCCCCCATGCACCCACGGACCCCCGGCACTGAGACAGAGCTTCCTCCACCCTCATCCCTTCTGCATCTAGGCCAGCCTCGGGCTGGGCGATGCCCCACGCCCTCTGAGGGCCTGGGGGCCTGGAGGTCCGCCCTGGGGCTCTGAGCCTCTCCTTCTGAAAGGGAGTTTGGAAAACAGTCGTTGAGCAAGATCCCACGGAGCTCCCTGCTTCTTACACATCCTGACGTGGTTGTGACCACTCGGGGGTCCTGACACCCCTGCTCCCCAGGCCCGGGGTCACGGCTCCCTCGCATCGAGGCTTGGCTATATGACTGTTGCTCACACACTCGCCCTGGGACCCCTGCCTCCCCTCCAGGACTGCTGCCTCGAGCCGCACCAGCTCCCCCTTCCCTGGCCCTGCACAGCTGCTCCCCGGGGAAACCCCGGAGTTCCTGCTCCCTGGTCACAGCCCAGACGACCTACAGTCGGGTAGGAAGGTGCTCCCAGTAGCCAGGTGCTCCTGTGATAACCATGGGATCCCCAAGAGAAACTGCTCCGGGACCCATTTTCCCTGGGTAAATGTGCAGAGCATTAGATCAAAGCCTGTGTTTTGGAGTAAGAGCGTCCTGCCCACCCCAGCCCAGCGTGCGACCTCAGCCTTCCTGGCTGCAGGCCCTCTGGCCACCCCCACCGCCTCGCTGCCAGGCCTGGGGGGGAAGGACCGGCCATGGTGAGCCGCATTCTCAGTGGCAGGAAGCTCTGGGCGTCCGGCAGATCCGCCTCCCCCTGCTCCTCCTGGCCAGGGTGCCAGCACCTGGATGGGCTTCCCCAGCCAAGCATTCGTTCTGTCTGTCTTCATCCCTTCTGGGGGGCCGGGTGGGATGTGTGTTCCAGGTGGCCGGAGGTCCCCAGAGTCTGAGTCCTGTGGGTAGAACTGGGTCCAAGGTGTGGCTGGTGTTCCCACGCTGGGCAGGGAGACAGTCCAGGCCCCTCAGAGGGACAGAGAGAGGCCTGCTTGACATGACTTGGAAGCTCCAGGGAAGGTCTCAGGGCTGGGGACCAATGCAGGGAACTCTTCTGGGGACGATGCTGCCACCGCTGGGGACCAGCTCCTTTTGCTGGTCTCAGAGCACAGAGGAGCCCGGTGCCTGTGGCCTCCAGCAAGGTGGAGGCCTGTCTCACCAGCTAAGTCAGCCCCAGGGTGTGGGCCACTCACCTCAGAGCTGCCTGCTGGCCTGGGGGCCTGCGGATGGAGGCCGAGGAGGGCCAGGCACAGGCTCTTCTGGCCCCGAGCCATGCTGTCTCCCTCCTCCCAAGACGCCTCTCCAGAGCCCCTTTTGTTGCCCAGCCTCGCAGCTCCCGCACTGCTAAGTGCTGCTGGGAGAGAAATCAAAGGCTCCCTCCTCCTTCCTCCCCGCTCGCCCCAGCCCATCAGCAATTCAATTTGTGCCACACCGGAGGGATGGTATTAGTCGAGTCAGAGTTAATATGATGTATTGATGGGTTGATTTCCCACCGGTGGGCCGCGCGCGGGCTCCACGCGGCGTTGCTCCTGGGCCACCCGCCGGTTCTCGCCTCCCTGGGGTCAGGGCGGGTACAAGCCCAGGGCCTGGAGGCGCCTCTGCAGCTGGTCTCCTTGCTTCTCTAGCTCCAGGGTACCCCAGATTTTCGGGGAGTCTGGCATCCACCTTCCTACCCATGAGCCACTTGGATCACCATGGAAACAGCAATGTTCTCTATGGGCAACATCGTTTCTATGGAACCCAAAAAGGCAAGTGCTGGCGTGGGGCCGTGAGGGACCGCGTGGGGCCTGGGGCGCAGGGAGTCCTGGAGGCGTGGGGGGCAGGGCTGGGGGGCTTCTGGGGCACGAGGTAAAGGCAACCAGCTGGGGTGAACCCTCCCTCCAGGTCTTGGACCACAGCAGGGGAAGGAAGGGGCTGGAGGGAGGTGGGCCTGCTTCTCAGGCCCCAGGGAGAATTTAAACTGCGGGGCCCAGGATCACAGCCAAGCTGCGTGCTGGGGCCAGGTGAGCACTCTGAAAACACAGCCAGGCTGTCTGAGCTCTGATGGCCGGGTAGAGGCATCTCCAGTAAGCACGGCCCCGAGGGGGTGGCACCCAGCTCCCTCAAGCGCCTGCCTTGCCCTGTACCCCACCCTCAGCAGCTCAGGGGTCCCAGGGGCAGCTCGGGGGAAGGATGCCATTGGGTGGAGGAGGCCCCCAGATGCCTGCACTTCCTGCCTCACTGAGCTAGGGAGCTCGCGGCCCAGGCCGCCACCCCACACCAGGGCCTGAGGTTGCAGAGCAGGTGGGACAGTGACAGGGAATGGGGGCAACAGTGTGCCCCAGCGGACAGAGGAGGTACTTCTACCCCGTGGACAGGAGGGGAGGGGACCTCCAGGAGGTGTTACTGGAGGGGGGCACTGAGGGTGGGGCTTTGCTAATGAGAAGGCAGGGCTGCTGGGGCCGTGGGGAGAGCATTCCGGGAGGAGGGCGTGCTGCTTCACACGTACGCTCACAGACGCGTGTGCAGAGGCCCAGCCTCAAGGGCACAGACCTCATCAGGCAGCCTGTGGGAGATGTGGCCACCTGGACATGGGACAGGTGTGGGGAGTGGCCTGAGGCCTTGGTGCCCTGTCTCCAGGATTTTTCTTGGGTAGAGGGACATCTCATTTGCATTTTAGAAAGATCTCCCTGGGGTGGTGCCCAGGAGGCTGGGGCAGAGGGACTTTTGAGTCCATGACTATGTTTAGATGACAGGTGACACAGACATGAAACAGCACGTGGGATCCCGTGGGGGGCCTGGAAGGGGCACGAGGGTCGGGGTCCTAGATGACCCCTGTTGATGCCCTGGCTGTAGGCGGGGGCGCACCTGTGGAGGAGCTGTTTGGAGGGGAGAGGGGACTTCCCTGGGGTATCCAGGAGGTGGCTGGACACTCCTGGTGGGGGTCAGACCCAGCCCAAGGAGAGGGACCACCCAGGGCGGGGAGGATGGATAAGGACAGGCGTAGGTCCGGGGAGCCCCAGGAGCCCCAGGGCAGAGGAAGGGCCCACAGAGCACCCAGCAGGCTTTAGGTGGTAGCGGCCAGGCTGGAGAGTGTCCTAAAGGAGCCTCAGGGAAGTGCGGGGCCCCCAGCGAGGTGACCCTGTGAAGGGTCACCTGCCCTCCTGCCTTCCCAGCCCTTCCCCCTCACAGCCTACCCCTCCATGATGTCGGCCTGTGCCCTGAGGTCCGTCTTGTGTCTTTGTCCAGGCAGGGCGGCGGAGGCTGTGGAAGGCCTTGGCCTCGGCCTTGGCCCTGGCCCAACGCAGGGCTGGCCAGCTGGGGTGGGTGCACATAAGACCCTGCCTGCAGGCAGGTCCAGGAAAGTTCCCCAGCCCCACCCAGGGGATGGACAGATACCGGACGCTTTCAGGGAACCAACCTTGGGGTGGAGGCCAGATGGCCTGCTGCCCAGAGGACAGCCCCCCACGGGCCTTGGGCTGGGTCCCCCAGGCTCCCACGTCAGCCCTGCATGTGCTGCTGTTTTGACAGCATTTGTCAGGGGCAGGCAGGTGGTCCCAGCCCCAGAAACCTGACCTGGAGCGAGGGGCCCCCTCCAGGCCAGCCCGCCCTCAGCCTTTCACCGTGTGGTGGTGAAGCTCCACCCAGGAGCCCTTTGGTTTTGGAAACTGAGCTAATTGGGTTTAGCCAGGCTACTCTCTTCCCTTTGCTTTAATTAGCAGGAAATTGACAAGGAATTTACACAGCTGAGGACAGTTTTACAAGTTCCAAATGTTTCTCTTGTTCCTTCTCGTCTGCTCGCTCTCTGGGCTCCAGGCCATCAGGCTGCCTGTCCACCACCCCAGCTGGGTGTAGAGGAAGCAACCCCCAGCATCCCCAGAAGCGGAAACCCAGCCCCAGCGTAGGGAGCACTGGGTGTCCCCCGGGCCGGCCGGGGACTCGGGTGGAGAGCAAGGCACCCCAGGTTGAGGGCCCGGGCTGGACAGCAGACTGCGGCCCAGCACAGGGAGCAGGGGCTGCAGCCACCGCCCGCCAGGCTGGATGGGCCCAGAGCGGCAGACACCTTGGGAGCCCACGTGGACTGGGGTGGGAACGGCCACCTGCGACCATTTTCCTTTCTTCCTTCGCCAAACAGTCACCCTGCCCCTCCTCCCCAGCCTGAGAAGACCACAGATATGGTGCAGAAGGGCTGGGGGCCTCCCAGGGTATTCAGGAAGTAGGTGGTCTGGTCCCTCACACCCGGCCTGCCCTCAGACGCACATCTCCCCTGGGGTCACTTCCTTCTGAGGGTCTCGGCACTTACGGGGGCTACTAAGAGCTGGGCACTTTGCCTTCCACAGTGCACGGCGCCCTTGCCGGGACCTCTCTCCAGCAGCTCTTCACGTGGCTGGGCATCCAGGCACAGGAGCTGTGTGGTGGCCACATCACGTCATGTGCTGTCCACTTAGCCATCCCCCAACTATGAGCCCACAGCCTCCTTAGCTTTTAAGGTTCTGACGGCTACTTGCAAGGACCCAGCCAGTTTACACTCCCCCAGCATTGTGTGGGGTGCAGGGGGGTGCCTGTGGCCCCAGACCTCATCCCCCCTCAACTTGCTCAGGGCACATTGCTGCCCACGCCCGTCCACCCGCCCTCCCTTTGCTAATCCCCCTGGGTGCTAGGCTGGGCACGGGGGCTGGGCAGTTGACAGCTCCCATCCCTGGGGGCTGAACATAAATCAGAACTTCTGGGGCATGGGAAGTCAGCGTTTCACGGGGACAGAATTCCAGCTTGGGACGATGGAAAAGGTCCGGAGCCGGGCAGGGATGAAGGCTGCAGATGAATGTCTTTAATGTCATTGAACAGCATGTTTGAAAAAGGTTACAGTGGCCAAGCTTACGTTACGGATGCTTTACAGCTTTAAACCTTCCTCAGACATTGACCCTTAAGTCCGTGCCAGCCGGGTGGTGGCGGGGATGGGGTAGGGGGGAACCTGGAGCACTCTCCTGGGGGCACTGCGCCCTCCAGCCCTGGCCCCGGGTGTCCCTTTGACTTCAGTTCTCTCCGCATGCAGATAACTTCTACCTGCGCAACCTGCCCCCTCAGCCCACACTCCTGCCCGCCAACCACAATTTCCCCAGCGTGGCCCGGGCCGCCCCCAGCCACCCCATCGGCTCTTGCAGCCGCGACCGGAGCGAGGCCGGCCACCTGCAGAAGGGCAGCAAGGAGTTTGACCGCTTCCTCGTGGGCAAAGAGAAAGCCAGCAAGGCGGCTGAGGGCAAGGAGCGGCCGGCGGCGGAGGAGGACGGTGGCAGGATGCGGCACAAGCTGGTGCTGCCTGTG